TCATTAAAAAAAAAAAAAAAAGAAAAAAGAAAAGAAAAAGAAAATTTATTATTAGTAACTTTTTCCATCAAGGTCAAATGACCTCAGTCCCTTCAATTCACTTTGGTGTCTTATACAAATATGAACATGTGTGTGTGCTATGAGGTTAATTGGGAAGGATGACATCATAGACTTATTGTAACTTATTTATATGTCTCAAATAGCCCCATGACCATCCTTTTTTTTTTTTTTGAGATGGAGTTTCGCTCTTGTTACCCAGGCTGGAGTGCAATGGCGCGATCTTGGCTCACTGCAACCTCCGCCTCCCGGGTTCAGGCAATTCTCCTGCCTCAGCCTCCTGAGTAGCTGGGATTAGAGGCACGCGCCACCGTGCCCAGCTAATTTTTTGTATTTTTAGTAGAGACGGGGTTTCACCATGTTGACCAGGATGGGCTCAATCTCTTGACCTCGTGATCCGCCCGCCTCGGCCTCTCAAAGTGCTGGGATTACAGGCATGAGCCACTGCGCCCGGCCCGACCATCCTTAATAGAATGATTAAATACTCACATGATGAGATGCTATGCAGCCGGTAAAAAGAATGAGGCAGCTCTAAATATCATAAAAGGGAAGAGGCTTCAAAATGTATTAAGTGAGGAAAGGAGGTGGACACAGTAGCTCATGCCTCTAATTTTAGAACTTTGGGAGCCTGAGCTGAGAGGATTGCTTAAGGCCAGGAGTTCAAGACCAGCCTTGGCAACATAGACCCCATCTCTACAAAAGAAAGTTAAAAATTACTGAGTGGGGTGGTGTGCATCTGTGGTCTCTACTACTCCCCCCAGGGCTGAGGCAGGAGGGTTGCTTGAGTCCAGAAGTTTGAGGCTGCTGTAAGCTCTGATTGTACCAGTCTGGGTAACAAAGCAAGACCTTATCTGAAAAAAAAAAAGAAAAAAAAAAAGGTACTGGGTGCGGTGGCTTACACCTGTAATCCCAGCACTTTGGGAGGCTGAGGTGGGTGGATCACTTGAAGTCAGGAGTTCAAGACCAGCCTGGCCAATGTGGTAAAACCTCATCTCTACTAAAAATACAAAACAAAAGAAAACAAAACAAAAAAAAAAACAGCCAGAAGTGGTGCGATGCAGCTGTAGTCCCAGCTACTTGGGAGGCTGAGGCAGGAGAATTACTTCAACCTGGGAGGTGGACGTTGCAGTGAGCTGAGATCTGTCATTGCACTCCAGCCTGGGTGACAAATCGAGTCTCCATTTCAAGAAAAAGAAAGAAGGAAAGAAAGAAAGAAAGAAAGAGAAAGAAAGAAAGAAGGAAAGAAAGAAAGAAAGAGAAAGAAAGAAAGAAAGAAAGAAAAGGGTATTAGTGCGTTTCTTAGTTTTTCTATTGTTGCTGTAGCAAATGATCACAAGTTTAGGGGCTTACGACACAAACTTACTACCTTCTGATTCTGGGGTAGGAAGTCTGACCAGGCCTCACCTGCCTAAGATGGAGGGGCTGGCGGGGCTGCATGCCTTTCCAGGGGGCCAAGGAGAGAATCAGTGTTCTTGCCATCTGCATTACTTGGCTTCCTCCATCTTCAGTACCAGCAACTTTGTTTCTCTAACCCCAAAGTCACATCTTCTGACTACATTCTGGAAGGTTCTCAGCTGAAAGGATTTGTGTGATTACATCGGGCCCACCTGGATAATCTGGGCTCACCTGCCATCTCAAGGCCTTTAATCAGCTGTCCAATTTAATATGCTCTATTGTCATATCACATGTTTACCGATCCCAGGGATCAGGACACAGACATCTCGGTGAGGAGGCTTTATTCTGCCTACGTGGTGTGCTGTTATTTGTATCAAAATGTTTGCTTAGACTGTCTCTGGAAGGGGACACAGGAAACGGGTAACAATAGTTGCTTCTGGGGAGGACTGGGTAGCTGGGGCATATGGAGGCTGACTTCCCACTGTATATAGCTTTCATTCGTTTGGGTTTTTAATCAGTCTGTGTATATTTATCTGAAAAAGTAAAGAATTGGTTAGGCACAGTGGTTCACACTTGTAATCCTAGCTCTTTGGGAGGCTGATGACGGTGGGTCACTTGAGGCTAGGAGTTCAAGATCAGCCTGGTCAACATGGCAGAACTCTGTCTCTACAAAAAGTTGGCCAGGTGTGGTGGTGCATGCCTATAATCCCTGCTACTTGGGAGGCTGAGGCGGGAGAATTGCTTGAACCTGGGAGGTGGCGGTTGCAGCAAGCCAAGATGGCGCCATTGCACTCCAGTCTGAAGGGAGGCTCCATCTCAACAAAAAAAGAAAATGAAAAAGTTAAAGAAAGTTTAGAGGTCTTAGGCTACATGGTGGTTCACCGGTGGGGTATGTCTGCTTTCTTGTTAGTAGTGGAAGTTGTCAGGTACCCGCAGCAATCCTTCTGCAGCAGCCTCAACTCTTGCTTCCTCAGAAGAAAAAGTTAGACTGAGGGGGGGAAAAGGCAGGAAAAGAGACCGAGGCAAGTTTTAGAGCAGAGTGGAAGTTGATTTAAAAGATTCAGAGCAGGAATGAAAGAAAGGAAAGTACACTTGGAAGAGGCCCCGGGGGCACCGTGGAGGTCAAGTGCTCCGTTTGACCTTGGACCTAGGATTTTACATGCTGGCCTTGCTTCTGGCATCGTGCACCCCTTTCCCTTCATCCTTCCCTTAGGGTGAGCCACCCGCATGCACAGACCTGCATGAGCTTGGGAGGCGAGCATGTTTCCCACGTTACATGTGTTTACTGAAGTTGCAGGCATGCTCACCTGAGGCGTTCTTCCCATTTCTGGTGGAATGACCCCCAGAAGATTACCATCTGCCATTTTGCCTCTGTGGCTTTTTTTTTTTTTTTTTTTTGAGTTGGAGTTTTGCTGTTAGTTGCTCAGGCTGGAGTGCAGTGGCGCGATCTCGGCTCACTGCAACCTCAGCCTCCCGGGTTCAAGCGATTCTCCTGCCTCAGCCTCCTGAGTAGCTGGGATTACAGGCACGTGCCACTATGCCCTGCTCATTTTTGTATTTTTAGCAGAGACGGGGTTTCACCATGTTGTCCAGGCTGGTCTAGAACTCCTGACCTCAGGTGATCTGCCTGCCTCGGCCTCCCAAAGTGCTGGGATTATAGGCGTGAGCCACTGTACCCAGTCAGTAAATCCATTTTTGATGGAACGCAGGCTAGCACCATATTAGCCTGAGCTACCACGCCCAGCCGCCAATGGGTTTTTCAGGTGTTTAGTACTGTATTCAAGATACCCAAGAATGTTACAGTAGGTAGCTAGTCAGGCTTAAGCAGGGCAGGAGACAGCTCCCCCCACCCACCAGAAATGTCAGGTGACCGCCAAGTGACGGTTTGGCAGTTGTCACGCTGCCTAAAATGATAATTGGTAGCAGTTGGCACCAGGGAGTAGAAGTTTCCCAATAGAAACAACTAAAATTGGTCATCAGCAGTTGCACTCCAGCCTGGGCAACAAGAGCAAAACTCTGACACACACACACACACACACACACACACACACACACACACACACACACACAAAACACAAAACAAAAACCCCCCCAAAACCCACAGGCTTCCAGCCTCTACTGCCAAACACCATGGCAGTCACTAGATGGCGCCCTTTCACTCTTTCTGGTGCAGCTGGTCACAGGGCTTTCTCCTTGCCTGTGCCATTCATGTTGACCCCAGCAAGGATGGGTGATAGGCAGGCTTCGCTAATTTCTCTAACATGTGAGGCTTTTTCCTCCTCTGTAAAATGAGAGTTATAATAATACTGCCTCAGTCTCCCAAGTAGCTGGGATTACAGGTGCAGAATTATAACTAAATGAAAGTGTACATAAACATCTCTAAAAAGTGCATACCTAGTAAGTAACCATTGACTAATGTTAACTATGGACATTAATGCCTACCTCCCTGGTTAGAAAGTTTCCCCAGGCCTCTCTTGTTCCTATTAAAGGGCAACTCGACCCAACCTAAGAGGACCCTTTCCTAACACTATCTTAATATTGTCTCAACCTATCAGTTCTTAGATGCCACAAACATTTCTTTCAGGTAAGAAAGAACTGCATTTTGTCATTTAGCTTTGTAGGCAATATTTAAAATCCAGATCTAGATTCTAATTTTTTCAAATAGGGTCAACTCCAAAAAAACCAAGTTTGTACCAAATGAAGTTAAGTTACGTGATAAATCTATGGCTCTTGTAAACAGATCTCAAAGCGATTGTCTTAGAATTATGATGGGATTAGTAAACTCATTTTTTTTTTGAGACAGAGTTTCACTCTTGTTGCCCAGGCTGGAGTGCAATGGCACAATCTCGGCTCACTGTGGCCTCTGCTTCACTGGTTCAGGCGATTCTCCTGCTTCAGCCTCCTGAGTAGCTGGGATTACAGGAGGCCACCACCATGCTTAGCTAATTTTTTTGTATTTTTAGTAGAGATGGGGTATCACCATGTTGGCCAGGTTGGTCTCAAACTCCTGACCTCAAGTGATTCACCCACCTTAGTCTCCCAAAGTGCTGGGATTATAAGCGTGAGCCACTGCACCCAGTCAGTAAATCCATTTTTGATGGAATGCAGGCTAGCACCATATTAGAAATGCTACCCCGCTCTGTCCTATGGGACATTTGTCATTTTGGGGCTTTGGTCCTCATTGATCCTTATACAAGGATGTCTCTTCTGTCCTCTTCTCTTCTCCTTTCTCTCTTTTTCTTTCCTTCCCTCCCTCCTTCTTTCCTTCCTTTCTTCCTTCCTTCCTCTTCCTCTCTCTCTCTATTTTTCAGAGCTGAATGATTCAAAGCAATACCCCTCCTTCATCATCCAATTTACCATTACCAGCAATGAATCCCTACAGTTCTGCAGCAACCTCAATTCTTGTCTCCTTAGAAGAATTTGACTGAGCAGCACAAGGCAGAAGAAGAGGCCAAGGCAGGTATGAGAGCAGGAGTGACAGATTATTAAAAAGCTTTAGAATAGGAATGAAAGAAAGAAAGGAAAGTACACTTGGAAGAGGCCCAAGTGGGCAGCTTGAAGGACAAGTGCCTCGTTTGACCTTGACTTAAGGTTTTATACGCCGGCATGCTTCCAGCATCTCGTGCATCTTTCCCTTCAGTCTTCCCTTAGGGTGAGCCGCGTGCATGCGCGGTGGCCTGCTAGGCGTTGGAGGTGAGCATGCGCAGTGTGTTTACTGGCGTTGTGCGCATGCTCACCCGAGGCAGGCGTTCCTCCCCTTTCTTGTGGAATGCAGCTGGAAGGTCATGTGCCCGTTAAACTCTGCACATGCTTGAGTCCACTCACCCAATTCCTGAGATCTTATTGGGAAGCTGCCAATCACCAGTTTCTTTCAATCTATTGGGAAACTGTCTTTCTCTGGTGCCGGCTGCGTGACGACTTCCGGACCATCACTTGACATTCCTGGTGGGGTGCGGGGGCCTTCTCCTGCCTTGTTCACATCTATTACCCCTGTAACAGTACCTGGTACAGATTCCAGCTAAATATGAGGTCTAGTAAAAAGGCTATGCCCTTGTGAATGAGAAAAAAATCCACTTTTTCTGCAGAGTTTCAGGGTTGGAGTCCCAGCGCTTTAAAATGCACTCCAGCAGAGTGCATGTTACTGCCTTGTGAAGAGGGTGCCTACTTCTGCTTCGCCTTCAGCTTGATTGTACGTTTCCTGAGGCCTCCCCAGCCATGTAGAACTGTGAGTCCGTTAAACTTCCTTTCTTTATAAAACACTCAGTTTTGGTTATTTATAGCAGCATGAGAATTGACTCATACAGCCTGTAACTGCGCCACAAAGGGCTATGAAGTGGAGAATTTGTCCCTCTCAGCACTCCAGCTTCTACCATACACACCCTGTGGGTCAGGCAGTCTTACTGTGTCTCATGTAGTGTGTCTAATTAACATTGCTGGAAGGGCACATTTCATGCCTTTTGCTTTTTTTTTTTTGAGATGGAGTTTTGCTCTTGTTGCCCAGGCTGGAGTGCAATGGTGTGATCTCAGCTCACTGCAACCTCTGCCCACCAGGTTCAAGTGATTCTCTTGCCTCAGCCTCCTGAGTAGCTGGGATTACAGTACATGCCTGGCTAATTTTGTATTTTTAGTAGAGACGGAGTTTCTCCATGTTGGTCAGACTGGTCTCAAACTCCCGACTTCAGGTGATCTGCCTGCGTTGGGCTCCCAAAGTGCTGGGATTACAGACATGAGCCACCATGCCTGGCTGTCTTCTGCTTTATGATGCTAGGTAGGGGAAAGATCCTCAGTCAGATACAATAACTACTTTAAAAGTCATTTAGGCGAAGGAGATACAACTACTTTACATTGTAAACCAAAAAGTACCTGAGACAGGTCTCAATTTAGAGATTTTGTCAAGGTTGAGGTCATGCCCAGGAAAAAGGAATACAAAACCACAAGAGCATCTGTGATCCATGATTTTTCCAAAAAAGGTTTGAAACCTTCAATATTTAAAGGGGAGGTCAGGAGTGGCAGCTCATGCCTGTTGTCCCAGCACTTTGGGAGGCTGAGGTAGGTGATCACTTGAAGTCAGGAGTTGGAGACCAGCCTGGCCAACATGGCGAAACCCTGTCTCTACTAAAAATAGAAAAATTAGTTGGGCATGGTGGTGCATGCCTATAATCCTAGCTACTTGGGAGGCCAAGGCACAAGAATTGCTTGAACCTGGGAGGCGGAGGTTGCAGTGAGCCAAGATTGCACTATTGCACTCCAGTCTGGGTGACAGAACGAGCCTCCACTTCAAAAAAAAGAAAAAATAAATAAAGGGGAAAGAGCAAGCAGGCAGTAGGGGAAAGACAAGAAAAAAAGTGAGGAGGGTGTGTGAAAAAGGCAAGTGGTACATTCCTTTGCTGCTTGAATCAACATTCTTTGAATCCACATGTTACAGGTTGGTAGATAAACAGTCAGTTAGGCATTCATCTCACTGCTCAGTGAATCTGCATTAATATGCATTTGTCTCAGGTAGGTGGAGGGATGACTTCTGGTCCTGTCTTTGTCCCCTACTTGCAAAGATAAGCCGTTAACTTACATTGTCAGGGAGAAATTCAACAGAACTGCTTTAGGGTAAAGATCTTAGGACCTGTAAGGAATTTCCCTGTGGGCAAATTGTGACAGAGCACCCCTGGGGAGGGATGTGGGCTTTTATCTCTGTAGGAACAAAAATAGGAAGCAGTTTTGTGTGACTTGGGTCCCAAGCTTGACATTTTTCTTTGGCTTAGTGAGTTTGGGGTCCCAAGATTTTATTTTCCTTTCATAAACATAAAACCTGTTGAAACATTACAACTTTCGGAATTCTATCACCCCTTGGGTTTTCATGTTCGGTCTCAGGCACCTTTTCTTTTTTTTAATTTTTTATTGGATTATAGGTTTTGGGGTACATGAGCAGAGCATGTAAGACAGTTGCGTAGGAACACACATGGCAGTGTGCTTTTCTTTCCTTCTCCCCTTCACCCACATTTGGCATTTCTCCCCAGGCTATCCCTCCCCACCACCCCTCCCACTGGCCCTCCCATTTTCCCCCCAATAGACCCCAGTGTTTAGTACTCCCCTTTCTGTGTCCATGTGTTCTCATTTTTCATCACCCACCTATGAGTGAGAATATGTGGTGTTTCATTTTCTGTTCTTGTGTCAGTTTGCTGAGGATGATGTTCTCCAGATTCATCCATGTCCCTACAAACGACACAAACTCATCATTTCTGATTCAGGCACCTTTTCTTGCCCTGCTGATCATTTTACCCTCCCTGGTGAAAAAGGCTTTGAGTGCCCAGCAGGGGGCGCTGAACCAAGGAACCCTGGCTCCTTTCATCAATCTTCTCTTGAGCACGGTCCCAGACAACTGTTGTTCAACTTTCTCATTGTAATCTCTGCCCTCATTTTTTTTTCTTCATAAATCTCTCCAATCTAGAGTAAATACAGCAGACTGATTTGGGGCCCTTGGAGAACAAATGTTAGAGGACCTGCTGGGACTTTGTTTCCCCAACTTCTTTTTTTTTTTTTTTCTTAAAACCCTCATACAAACACCCAGCTTTCAATAGTGTTGTATTAAGACCTTTATTTTAGCACCAATTTCCATTTTATTCATTTCTTCTTCTTTCTTTTTTTTTTTTAATTTGTATTATTTTGAGGTGGAGTTTTGCTTTGTCACCCAGGCTGGAGTTCTGTGTGATCTTGGCTCACTGCAACCTCCACCTCCCAGGTTCAAGCAATTCTCCTGCCTCAGCCTCCTGAGTAGCTGGGATTACAGGTGCTGCCCCCATGCCCAGCTAGTGTTTGTATTTTCAGTAGAGACAGGGTTTCGCCATGTTGGTCAGGCTGGTCTCAAACTCCTGACCTCAGGTGCTCCACCTGCCCTGGCCTCCCAAAGTGTTGGGATTACAGGGGTGAGCCACTGCACCCAGACTTCGTTTCATTTCTTAATAACCATGTAAAGATTTCCACCCTGCTGTGATAGGTTCCATGATTCTCCCTTTCTTTTTTCTCTTAGTTTCACCCCATCAATTATTTTTAAGTTTTGCCTTACTTTGTAAAAAAAACATTTGAAAGTTCCCACCTTTTTGGGATGATTCCATTGACTCCCCCTTCTGCCCTCACGATTTTTTTTTTTTGAGACAGAGTCTCACTCTGTTGCCCAGGCTGGAGTGCAGTGGCGTGATCTTGGCTTGCTGCAACCTTTATATTCTGAGCTCAAGCAATTCTCATGCCTCAGCCTCCTGAGTAGCTGGGATTACAGGCGTGCACCACTGTACCCAGCTAATTTTTTGGATTTTTGGTAGACATAGGGTTTCACTGTGTTGGCCAGGCTGGTCTCAAACTCCTAACCATAAGCAATCTGCCTGCCTCAGCCTCCCAAAGTGCTGGGATCACAGGTGTGAGCCATCACGCTCCTGGAAGTCTTCACCATTTTCTTGTTAATTAACCTAATGTGTTTACTAGCATCTGTAAGATCCATCAGGAGAAGTTGAGACAGCAGATTTGATGAGACATCCTGAACTGTCTTTTGGTTTTGCAGTGGTGTTACCAGAAAGGGTCCCGATCCAGACCCCAAGAGATGATTCTTGGATCCCATGCAAGAAAGAATTTGGGGTGAGTCTATAAAGTGAAACCATGTTTATTAAGAAAGTGTGGGACTGTGTTAGAGGGACTCCCGGGGTTAGCTGGGGGCGTTGTGTGCAGGAATTTTCCAGTTTTCCGCTGCTGGCTTGGGCCCTTTGTTTAGTTTCCCGAGCCAGGTGGGGCCTTTTGTTTTTGACTTTCCCACCACTGGTTTTTGGAGGTGGGGGCTTTGTAACTCAGGGTAATCAAACAAGTAGCCAATCCGGTAATGGGAGAACATTAATAGGGAGGGAATAACTCAAGGGTAAAAGCTCCAACTGTCCTTGCCTGGACAGTATCCTCTTTCTGATCCCCTTCCAAGCAAGCTTGGGAGCTGTCCTTTCACTCTGCCTAATAAACTGCACTTTCTCATGCTCTGGGTTCACAAGTTTTATGTCAGCTGTAAAACTCACTGAGCCTCTGGGGCCCCTTTCCTCATTCTTTGAGGTTAGAAAGGCCAAAAACCTAAATGCCGGCTGCAGTGGTAGTTTCTGGTGGCCTAGTGGTTAGGATTCCTGGTTTTCATCCAGTCAACCCAGGTTCAACTCCCAGTTATGAAAAGCAGCGAATCTGGCAGTATCATGAAGGGAAGGGATGAAGTATGGCTACTCTGCAGCAGCCCTGAGGGCTGCTGGTTACCCATTTTTATGGTTATTTTTTGATTATATGCTAAACAAGGGGTGGGTTATTCATGCCTCCCTTTTTTTTAGAACATATAGGGTAACTTCCTGAAGTTGATTGGAATAAGGTATCTCCAAAACTTTTTTATTTTCAACGATTTCCTTAGTTCTAATAGTGACTTAATCCAAAAGCCTCTTTCAAGCCTAGGTGGGAATTTTCCAGGTTTTTACCACGTAAGCAAATGATATTCTAGAGAGGGTGTAGAGGAGGCATCTTCATGATCCCTCAAAATTCACTCTTCGAAATAGACTTAAGATAGCAAAAGATGACAGAAGCCCTGTAGGGATGGGACCTTTTAAGACAAAACTCCCATAACAGCCTGATATTTTCAGAATAAAAAGTGTTCTGCTTAAAAAATTATGTGTCTTAGACCCTCAGAAAATCAGATGAGGACCCCAAAATTCACATTTTTTGGATGACAGAGACTAAGAGTACCCCACATAGTCACAAAGTGAAGCTCTCAAGGACATGAAACCAGATGAGTGGGAAACTTCATCTGGTTTTTGTTTCAGGAACCCACAGCAAAGTTTGTCTTAATAGACACTGGTCTGGTCAGAACCACTAAAGACTGACCAGGCTGCAGTGCTGTTTTGAACAATAGGCTTACAGAACCTTACAAGAGTTCTAGGCCCATGTTCTACCCTATGGTACCCACCCTTTATTGTCACTGAAACCCCAGAGGTTTAGGCTAGGTCCTACTGCTGACCACACAGAGAGTCATTCACTGAGACCACCAGTCTTGCTAGGCTTTAAATGAATGGGTGCTGCAGTAGGGAGATGGGAGATAGTCTCAAATCTGTCTCCTCAATGATTAAAGTTAAGCATTTATACAGCAGAAATCTAACAACGCGCAGGAAAATAGGAATTAGGAAGGGGTAGGAAAGAGACCTTGGTCAACAGACAGCAGGTAGTAGGTTAGGTAATCATAAAGGGAGAGAGATCTGGCACCTCATTATCCAGATATGGTGATCCGATGAGTTTTAATTCTCTGATGCTATCTGGGAGACTGATAGCTGGTTTCTTGAGAAAGGAACTCAGATAAGACAAATGTAACTTTCTCGTTTCAAGATTGAGGAGGTCAATTTCTATATTTATTCAAAAGAAACTGTAAACATCTATGGGATGGTGAACTGTAAAGTTCTATGGGATAATTGGGTCAGTTTCACTCTGACAGAAGGACACAGAAAATAGAAGGAAAGTGCAACATAAAAGGATATTAGAGGAAAAGGGATCCAATGATGTGACTATTCATAACACAAAATACCAGAGTTACAGCCGAGTCACCACAAGGCAAGACTAGTCACACAAATCCTTTTTTCCCGTAATCAAAACTTTGCAGATGAGGTTGGGCATGGTGGTTCCCACCTGTAATCTCAACACTTTGGGAGGCTGAGGCAGGAAAATCACTTGAGCCCAGAAGTTTAAGATCAGCCTTGGCAACACGGCAAAACTCTACAAAAATTACTACAAATGTTAGCTGGGCATGGTGGTGCATGCCTGTAGCCCCAGCTACTTGGGGTGGGGGCTGAGGTGGAAGGATCACTTGACCCTGGGAGGTTGGGGCTGCAGTGAGCTGTTTGTGCCACTGCACTCCAGCCCGGGTGATGAAGTGAGATCCTATCCAAAACTAAAACAAAAACAAAACAATGAGACAGTGATTTTTACCATCCACCCAGCTGGAGTCCACAGAGAGCCTGGCTGGTGAGAAATTCTTAGTTGTTGGCTGGCAGATCAGGTTCCTGGGTTCTCTTTGCTGTGGTTTCCAGAAGAGAAGAATGGCTTTGTCCACCCTGCTTGCTGTGCCACACTGTGGGAGTCATAGGCCCTTGGCCCCCTAAAGGTTCCCTGAAAAAAATCACTGGTTTGAAGCAGATTATTAGTAGGAAAGGCAATCACATTTATTTAACATGTGTACAAGGGAGCCTTCAGAATGAAGACCTTTGCTAAACTTTCCTAGATCCAGGCTAGAGAAAGTCTGGCAGGGCTACTTTAAAATATGTCAGAGATAGATATTTTGGCCAGCATGGGCAACAGAGTGAAACCCCATTTCTACCACAAATACAAAAAATTAGCCAGGCATGGTGGCACACACCTGTAGTCCAAACTACTGGGAGGCCGGTGTGGGAGAACCACCTGAGCCTGGGAAGTCGAGGCTGCAGTGAGCTGAGATTGCACCACTGCACTCTAGCCTGGGAGAATATGTATACATTGCGGGGAGTAGGGTGGGGGGGGGGGGTTGAAATACTGATTTTTCTTAACCAGCCAGTGTTCCTAGGGTTGAAACTTGATTTTCTTCAGCTGCAGGGGTTTTAGTCAACATGGTGGTGGGGGTGGGGGCAAGAATTGGTCAAATCTAACAGAAGATGGACTGAGACCAAAAAACAAAACAAAACAAAAAAACAGAAAAAGCAGTAGCAAAAGTTACATATTGCTGGGATCTCTGAAGATAAACAAGTTATAGTCAGCAATCAATAAACCTTGACCTTCAGCTACCACATCCCCAAGTGAAATCCCAAACCACCTCCTACCTGGAGATGCAGCCCAAGCCGAAGACCGCTCTTTGTTGGCATGGAAGCGGCAAACTCCCCGTTCTTATCTGAGGTAAGCAAACTCCTTTCCTAGAGGAGTTCCCTAGCAAAATAAACCTTGAATCTCAAGCCAGACATTTCGGGAGATCAGGGAACCTCAATGGACACAGCAGGCTTTTGAACCTTTTGCAATTTGGATGGTCAGAGAGAATCTCTTGCTGGCGGGAGAATTGCTGCAGGTCCCAGGAGCGACCAAAATGAGCGACTGAGGCACTAGGTCTCAAACCACCAAGGTTTATTGAACCAGCTTGAGGGTGCATGGGGGAAAAGCACAAGTCATAGAAGAATCTGTGGCTGGTTTTCCCAAAGAGATTCTTAAAAGATTCAGTATTTATTACATTTTCCTTAAAAAAGGGGTGGGGCAGCAGGGAGGCAAATGATTATGTACTTGTAAGACTTTAGTTAGTGCTCAGAAAATAGACATTTTACATAAGACAAGGTGAAGAGTTGGAGAAAAAGGGAATAGAAAAGGCGGAGTCTCGGGGAGGGGTGAAGGAATGATTAGTCTCATCTCATCCTTGTTCTGTGCCTGGGAAGATGTGCCAGCAGTCTTTGGAAAGACCGGTTGGTTTAGCCTTTATGGGAGAAAACCTAAGGACTGTTAGAGAGGGAGTCAGTGTAATGAGGCATGTTCCATCTCTGATCTTGTCATGGCTGTCAGCTCAGCTTTCAAGGTTTCTATGGAGTTCCCTTGGCCAAGTGGGGGATCCATTTAGTCAGTTAAGAGGCTTGGAATTTTTTTTTTGAGATGGGATCTCACTCTGTTACCCAGGCTGTAGTGCAATGGCATGATCTTTGCTCACTGTGACCTCCGCCTCCTGGATTCAAACAATTCTCCTGCCTCAGCCTCCCAAGTAGCTGAGATTATAGGCCCCTGCCACCACACCTGGCTAATTTTTGTGTACTTTTAGTAGAGATGGAGTTTGACTGTGTTGGCGAGGCTGGTCTCAAACTCCTGACCCGTCAAGTGATCCAGCCACCTCAGCCTCTCAAAGTGCTGGGATTACAGGTATGAGGCACTGCCCCTAGCCGAATTTTTTATTTCTCTTTGGGAAACACTTTCATTGTGTCCTCTTTCTCAGGTCCATCCCATGTTCTCCTCAAATACTCATGGTGAAATGTCTTCTAGTCTTATTGGGAGGGGTGTGTGTGTTAATCTGTAAAATATAACTCTTGTTAAAAGTGTAACTACAACACCATTATCTCATGTTTTTTTAAATTAACTCAATTAAATATCTAGCTAGTATTTAAATTCCACAATTGTCTCATTTTTAAAAGATACTTTATTTGAATTAAGATCTAAATAAGGTACACACAGTGTTATATGTTCCCTACCATTCTTTTTCCTTTTGTAGCCGTTTATTTCTTCAAAATTTCTTCTTTGGTCTTGAAAAGCAAGTTTAAAGCTTTAAGAAGTATACAGTTTTTGTAATTAGAAAACATTTTAGGCTGAACACAGTGGCATATGCCTGTAATCCCAAGCACTCTGAGAGGCCACTGCAGGCAGATTGCTTGAGGCCGGGAGTTCAAGGCAAGCCTGGGCAATGCAGCAACACCCCATCTCTACAAAAAAATAGAAAAACTAGCCAGACATGGTGGTGCACGCCTTGTGGTCCCAGCTACTTGGGAGGCTGAGGTGGGAAGATCACCTAAGCCTGGGACATTGAGGCTACAGTGAGCTGAGATCATGTCACTGCACTTGAGCCTGGGCAAGAGTGAAATCCTGTCACAAACAAACAAACAAACAAACAAACAAACAACAGAAAAAAGTTTCAGAGGCAAAATACACTATAAAGGAAATAAAATTCACCTATAATTTTACAAGTTTCTTAAACATTATTTTTAATATTGGCAGAATGCTTCACTGTGTGACATGCCACAATTTCATGATTGCTGTGTTTTTGGACTCCTCACTCGTGTCCAGTTTTCTCTTCTGGTTAATCGTGTCTTATTGTGTCTGTAAAGCATGATGCACATCTGATTATTGCTGTGGAAGGATAAACTCCTAGAAACAGAATTAACAGTCATGGTGTATCTATATATGAAGCCTGCTGGAAAATTCTTCATAAAGACTTATATTTGGGCCAGGCAGGGTGGCTTACTTGTAATCCCAGTGCTTAAAGAAGGCCAAGGCAGGAGGATTGCTTGAGGTCAGGAGTTTCAGACCAGTCTAGACAATATAGTAAGACTTCCATTGCTACAAAAAGTTAAAAAAAAAAAAGAGTTACGCTAATGTGGTGAGTGCCTGTAGTTCCAGCTACTCTGGGTGCTGGGGTAGGAGGATCTTTGAGCCCAGGAGTTTGAGGCTGCAGTGATCTGTAATTGTGTCCACTGTACTCCAGGCCTGGGTTACAGAGTGAGACCCTGTTTCAAAACAAACAAAAAACCCAGACATATTCATAGTAAGGTATCTTAATCCATTTTCCATTGCTTATAACAGAGTATCTGCAATTGGGTAATTTATGAAGAAACAATTTATTTCTTACAATTCTGGAGGCTGGGAAGTAAAAGGTCAAAGGAGTGTACCTGGCCTTCTTGCTGGTGGAGACTCTGTAGAGTCGGGAGGGTGCTGAGCATGCTAGCTCAGGTCTCTTTTCCTGTTGTAAAACCTCCAGTCCTACTCCTGTGATATCCCACTAGTCCATTAGTCCGTGAATGGATGAATCCACTCATGGGGCAGGGCCATGAGCTAATCACCTCTTAAAGGCCCCCCTCTCAATAATGCCAGATTGGGGGTTAAAGTTTTTTCTTTTTTTTTTTTTTTTTTTTTCTGAGATGGAGTCTTGCTGTGTCACCCAGGCTGGAGTGCAGTGGCACAATCTTGACCTAAAATGATCCACCCACCTCGGTTTAACATGTGTTTTACAGGGAACAAAAATTCAAACCACAGCATCAGGAGTGTAACAAAAAACCACCTCTCCTTCAGTCTCGCAGATACCAGGTATTAAAAACAAAAACACAAACTTCCCAAGTTGACATATAGTCTATTTGTTTTAGTTCATTCTTCATTATTCATAACAAATTTGGGATATAATTTCTCCATATGCTCAGTAGTCTATATTTCTTCTATTGTGAATTATCTGTTTAAGATATTTGCCCATTTCCTATTAAGAGTTGTATTGGTCGTGGGTTCTAGCTGTCTGTTACTAGGTAACAAATTACCCCAAAATGTATTGGCTTAAAATGACAACTATTCTTAGGCTTCTGTGGGCCAGGGAATTCGGGCAGGACATAGATGATCAGTTCTTTTGCTTCATGTGGTGTTCACTGGAATTCCTTGGTGATATTTATTGGTGGCTGGGGTGGTCTGCAGGGTTCAAGATGGCCTCAGTCACAGGCCTGGGCCCTGTTTGGGGATGGCCAGGCCTAGCCAGGTTGCCTCTCCATCCCTGAGCAGTTTTAGGACCTCTCCTTATGGAGGAGAGCTGCCGCTTCTCTCCATGGGTAGGTGGCTTAGTATTGTGGGTTTTATGGCCGTGAAAAATATACACTGGGATGAGTCTGCAAATAAACCTTACTAAAGTAACATTTATCTTCCATTACTTTCCCCCATATATTTACCTTCCCACAACTTACTGCCCCACAGGAGTTCAAAACCCTTTTCCTTTGTCATGTCCTGTTTCCACAATTTATCGTTCTTTGATAAAATGGTATATTATTGGTCTAATTGCTTCTTTGGGTCTTCACTTTTCTGTTTATTTATTTATGAGACAGAGTCTTGCTCTGTTGCTTAGGCTGGAGTATAGTAGTGCGATCTTGGCTCACTGCAACCTCCACTTCCAGGTTCAAGTGATTCTTGTGCCTCAGTCTCCAAGTAGCTGAGATTACAGGCATGCACCACAATGCCCGGATAATTTTTGCATTGTTAGTAGAGACAGGGTTTTACCATGTTGGCCAGGCTGGTCTCAAACTCCTGACTTCAGGGGATCTGCCTGCCTTGGCCTCCCAAAGTGCTGGGATTACAGGCATGAGTCATGGCACCCGGCCCTGGGTCTTCACGTCTCTATGAAGACCTCCGTATGCATATGTAATGATAAACCTTTTCTCCTGTTAATTTAATTTGTCACTCTAATTGGCAGGGACCTAGCCTTTGAACCTAAGCAGGTAGAGGAAAGAGTTTGTTTTCTCTCTCCTCTACAATGACTTGTTTTACTGAATGGCATATTGGTAGATGTGATACAAACATAGTTTTCAAAAGTGTGTGTGTATGTTGAGTCTTGCTTTTTTTTAAAAAAAATTATTATTGTTATTAAGACAGAGTCTCGCTCTGTCACCCAGGCTGGAGTGCAGTGGTGAAGTCTCAGCTCACTGTAACCTCCCTGGTTTAAGTGCTTCTCCTGCTTCAGCCTCCTGAATAGCTGGGATTACAGGCATGTGCCACCACACCTGGCTAATTTTTATATTTTTAGTAGAGACAGGGTTTCACTGTGTTGGCCAGGCTGGTCTCGAACTCCTGACCTCAAGTGATCTGCCTGCCTCAGCCTCCCAAAGTGCTGAGTTTATAGGCGTGAGCCACCACTCCCAGCTGAAGCTTGCTATTTTTTTTTAACTAAAGGACATTTATTAATTTTTACCAAGACCTCATCTTGAGGACATGGCTAAACTGTGTTTCCACCCACCACTTTATCTTGAAGAAGGGTTGGTACGGTGAATGCTGTAAAGTAGATATGAACAGTTGAAGGACTGGAATCAACACCAACTGATGAAGAACAACTTCCATCTAAATTATCATAAAAATGTTTAAGTCAAAAAAAAAGAAAGGAAAGATAAAAAGAGGGGGCAATGGGGGGCTTCCGATTGAACAAGATCCTCACATTTCATCGAATACAGTCCGTCTTGGCTAGAATATAACAAAGCGGAAACAGGGTTAGTATGATACAAAACTTCCACTACAGCACGCTGTACACAGCGTGTTCCAGGCCCACCTCCAGCCCCCCAGTGCTTCCAACACAATGATTTCCCAGCCTGTTGGGCCTGCTGACGAAGGAGCTGCTACAGTCCCTCTTTGCTTACTAATTTGTAAGCTCTTTAAATTATCAAGGATATTAAGTCCTATTCATGAGGCTATAAATGTTCTCTGTTCTCTATATTTGTTTATATTTTCTTTTGTATATGCAGCTTCTTTGGTGTGTAGAAGTCATCAATATAAGTGCACCAAATCAATCGTTGGCCTGGTAGTTTCTTGTCCACACGTCTCATTTTTGCTGTTCTGCTATGCAGATATCCTCTTGCCATCTGATAATATTCTTTCTAAAAGTATGCCTAAACATCTTAAGAATTCGTCCCCAAAATAATTTTTTTTTTTAAACCTAGAGTCTCAGATTCTTCAAAGTCAGGTGACTTCCCAAACAGCAGGCTTGGAGTCAACTTTCTTGAAGTCGAGGCTCTGGGCAGTGACCGGGGAGACTGCTTTCCTGAGACTTGACATCAAATCTTTTGGAACCATGCAACAGGGCCAGTTGGACTCTCCTAGCCTTCCTCCCTCATATCTACAGAAAATGAACGGCCATATTTTTGACTTTTACCCTCTTATCATATCTTGACTGAAGTCAATAACTGGTCTAATTACTGTTGACTCAGCTGTTTCACTGAGATACGTTTAGTAATTGTAACCAAATTATCTAACTAGTGCAAGGTTCTCTGATGAATGGCTCAGTTTTAGCAATGTCATTATGGAAATCTGAGAATAATCTATTCATTGTGCTTTTACATAAGGAACCCCATCAACCCTCCATCATCCTGGTTTAGCAATGAACACATCGACAGTCCTGTTTCATAAATATCTCCCTTCACTCCCACATTCTTCACCCCACAGATTTGTTCTAAAATCAAAGACATCTACCATGCCCAATGGTAAAAACTGCTTTATTGGTGGCAGTTAGTATGAGTCAATAAATATTGATACCCAAAAAGAGCTTGATTGGTCCATATAGAGCTCAGTGAAATTGAACCAAGTGATTCCTGGGAGAACTGAAGTCAGTCTTGCTTCTTGGGAAAGGAAGCCATGGCCAGCAGATATATGGCATATGTCGTCCCGCCAACTTTAAGAACCATGGCGACTCTATAGAGGACTGAGGGAAGGTGTTTTCTTTGCAAGTCTGCAAGGGGGTGTAGTTTTAAGGGCAAGAACTTCTGAGCGTCACGCCCCCTCCCAGCTCTCTCCATCCAGATTTAACGGGTTTATGTTTAAATTTTGCGGGCGCAGGAAGAAACTAAGTCAGTCACTCCAGTGGAAGTTCTAAGGAACTCCTTTCATTCGCTCGGGGTCTTGGGGAAGGTGGGGGTTCCTCCCAGATTAAAAGTCCCCTTCTTTCACACCCCTTCGGACTCCATGTTTGGGTCCCCTTCCATGAACACTCCCTTCGTGGAAGCCATCTTTCTCTCTCCTGGATTTCTCCTCTGGAGTCCCCTTCCACACCCCCTTGTGGAAGCCTGTCTTCCCCTCCTAAACTCCATCTCTCTCTATTCCCTTCCACTCAGTGTGGAAGCTGCTTTCCTCTCCTGGATCCCATCTTTCTGGATTCTCTCACTCAATGTGAGAGAAGCTTTCCTGCTCTGGTTTTCCCCTTCTGGGAACCCGTCTCACTACTCAGTGTGAGAGCGGCTTTTCTTTCTCTCACTCAGTGTGAGAGTTAGCTGTTTCTCTCTCCTTCTCCTTTTTCTCTCTCTAAATAAATCACTTTCTACAAACACCTTTGAGTCTGGCATTTACTGCGCACTATGCCGTGGTCCCCTCTCTCATTGTTGAGAGGACAGGAGACCAAGAACCTGGAGAAACATTCTCTCAGGGGAGCTGAGGGCATCCTGAACCCCAATATTACAAGAGGGCATCAGCTACGCCACCCTTTAGCTGTACTGGATTTCCATTATCCTCCTGAAACAGCATTTGCTTTTCTGGAACTTTATTTTCAAAATAACTATGAAAAGCAGTGCTTATGGTCCTCTGGGCGATCTCACTAAAAGCCAGTAGACTCCACAGCATCTTGGCTCAATTACTGCCCACCAACTATGTCAGTGGAACACTGGGAACCCAAAGACATCTTATTTTCTCCACAAATATTCACTATGGGCCAGGTGCAGTGGCTCATACCCGTAATCCCAGCATTTTGGGAGGCTGAGGTGGGCAGATCACTTGAGGCCAGAAGTTTGAGACTAGCCTGGTCAACCCAGGGAAACCCTATCTCTACTAAAAATACAAAAATTATCCAGGCATGGTGACACAGGCCTGTGATCCCAGCTGCTCAAGAGGCTGGGGCACGAGAATCACTTGAAACCAGGAGGCAGAGGTTGTAGTGAGCCAAGATTGTGACACTGCATTCCAGCCTGGGCAACAGAGTGAGACTCTGTCTCAAAAAAAAAAAAAAAAAATCATTAAGTTCTCCTAAGAGATAAGGATTCTAAAAATAAATGACCAAGCTAGGTGTGGTCACTCTGTCACCAGGCTGGAGTGCAGTGTTACAGTCACAGCTCACTGTAGCCTCAACCTCCTGGGCTCAAGTGATTCTCCTGTCTCAGCTCCCCCAGTAGCTGGGAATGTAGTTCGACGTAAGATTTTTCTTTGCAGTCATGTTGCAAGCCAGCGATATCCCACCCAGGCCTCACTTGGCTATGCTGGTGTGCCCCAGCTTGCCTGCATTAGAGCATGTACCCGAGTTCAGTGGTTCCTCATCCTCAAGAAGAATGAGGATATGTAGGACATTGAAGGATGAGGAGTGCAGAGAAGAATTTTATTGAGTTATGAAAACAGTTTTTAGCAGAGAGGGAACTTGGGGTTGGTTCCCCTATTTGAAGGTGGGAGAGTTGCCCCCCACTCCCAGGTGGGCCTTTTATGGACTCAGAATGGGGTCTGTGTGCTGATTGGTGTGTGAGTTGCGAACAAGTTTAAAGTGAAGACACCACTCAAAGGTGGGCGTGGCAGTGTAGGAGACCAATTAGGAGCGGGTAGGTGTGTGTGAGACAGGTGAGAAGGGTGGGGATGGATCAGAGGAAGCTGTGCCAAGCAGGAAGACAAGTTCTCCATCCAGTCCATGGATTTAACTTACAGCTGGGCTTTCTGGTTTTAAACCTCGAATCACTTTCTCCTGTTAGTCTGCAAAAACTCCCTCTGCCTCTTTTCTCCTTCTAAGGATGCCTGTGATTCTGGTCAGGGCTGACCCGGATAATTCGGGATTAAGCTCTGCCTTCAAAATCCTTCACTCAATCCCGTGTTGCCATGTAAGGTAATATTTAACTATTTTACCATGTACATAATGTTCACAGCTCCTGGGGATAGAAACAGAAGTTTTTGGCATTTCTTTTAGTCTACCACAGAGGTTTGTTAGATTAACCAAGTAGAAATCTCATATTTACATGCTACCTCCAGCATTAGGAAATCAACTCGAGGGCAGGGCATGGTGGCTCACACCTGTAATCGACCACTTTGGGAGGCAGAGGTGGGAGGATCATTTGAGGTCAGGAGTTTGAGACCAGCCTGGCCAACATGGTGAAACCCCATCTTTACTAAAATACAAAAATTAGCTGGGGTGGTGGTGCGCACCTGTAATCCCAGCTACTCAGCAGGCTGAGACAGTGAAATCACTTGAGTCTGGGAGGTGGAGTTTGCGGTGAGCTGAGATCATGCCACTGTATTCCAATCTGGGTGACAGAGTGAGACCCTGTCTCAGAAAAAAAGAAAAAAGAAAAGAAAAGAAAAAGAAAAAAGAAAAATAAACGTAAGGCCGGGCACAGTGGCTCACGCCTCTCATCCCAGCAAGTTAGGAGGCCAAGATGAGGATCGCTTGAGCTCAGGAGTTTGAGACTAGCCTGGGCAACACGGCGAAACCCTGTCTCTACAAAAACTACAAAAATTAGCCAGGCATGGTGGCCCACAGCTGTAGTCCCAGCTAATCAAGAGACCGAGGCAGGAGGATTGCTTGGGCCTGGGAGGTTGAGGCTGCAGCCAGTTGTGATCGTGCTACCGCACTCCCGCCTAGGCAACAGAGCGACACCTTGTCTCTCAATAAATAAATAGAAAAGAAAAAGAAAAGAAATCCAAGCACTTAGCCCCAAAGAATTAGGGTTTCTTATTTTATCTTCGTGAGTCCAACTGGATCTTCCAAAACCCAGCATCCCTTTAGAGCTAACAGTGGCAGGCCCCACATCCTCCTGAGGGCAGTTTGCAGAGGACCATGAGCTCCCTGGGCAATGTCCAGTCACCCACTACCTCTTCAGCATCCAGGAACAGAGGAGCCATGCTCTGAAGGTTGCAGAGATTGTGAATGACGGACTGGAGGAGAGGGAAACTTCCAGTCTCCTCTTCCCTTAAGTTTCTTCCTCTCCCACTTCCTGATAAATCCCTTCCTTGGTGGGAAACACGAGCTCTCACTTGCCCTCCCTCCTCTGTGTGAAAGGGCAGGCAGCTGAGGTACGGTGGCAGCTGGGGCTGCCTGAGTGTTTGGCAGCCTGGTGCTGAATGCCAATGAGGCCTTTCCACACTGGCTGGCAGTAGGATGGAGGCTTGGATAGGCTGGTACTTGGCATTGTTCAAAAAGAGCAACAGATAATACTGGCTTGGTTCGCCGGCAGACCATGACGTAATCTCAACACAGAAAATGACTCAGACAAAGGATACACCCTGGGGACAACTCCAATGTCTCTGTGTGATGCCGGCGAAGACTAGAGGCCTCTTGGGCATGCGTTGCACCACTGCAGGCTGGCTGAGGCCAAGCCCAACACGTGCCTTAGTAACTTCAGAAAGGATGGCCATGGATTATGTCGGAGGCAGAAAA